TAATATATTCCACTGTGTCCTGATCATAGAATGAAACTAAAAAAAATCCCCAAGTGTTTACATTCTTGGGATCCTTTCTCTGATCCTCATTGCCCAGCAAGGAAGAAAGACCATTTCAGTAGTTCACGGCTGGAATGCATGGGGCTCAATCACACAAATGGTAGAAACGGGTAAGCAGATCTGCTTGTCCAGTCAACGGAAAGCAGATTAAGATCAGGTGCTGGTTATTTTTCCCCGCCAAAGTTAAAGGAGGCAGATAAGGTTTTTTCCTTCTTCTATTTCTTCTTGCACTTTGTCACTGGATGTGGCTATTTCAGCTTGCGCCGAGAAGACTGCACAGATGAACGTCAGAATAGTGCCACCGATAGCTGTGTAGAAAGCCCAGCCCAAGGAGCAGTCTCCAAGTTTGTAAGCAGAAGCGTAAGGTCCACAATAGCTTATTGCTTTCTGGCATCCCCAACCTGCAGGGTAAAGTATCAAGCCTAAGATAAGGAAGAGGCCTAGAAATAAAAACAGAAAAGGCACAAGTTTAACAAATGATTAGTTTAACACCAAACACAACACATGTTGTAATGGTTATCATGGTCACTACTCACTCCTAAGAACAGGGATTAGAAGATTCTTCCTCATCCAACCAACCTTCCTTTACTGATTGTTCCCTAGTATATACTATGCAGTGCTTTAACTAAACTTGGAGCTACCCTGTGGTTTTTCTTGTGAAAAGCTTATGGCCTGTGATAATGGCCTAGTTCCTGACTTTAATCTCTGCATTCCTTGTACATCCTTTGTTTTCACACATTATTGCTAGGTACAGAGGGCTTACAAAACATTCGAGCATCTCTGCCTACTTCACTTCAAGTTCATACTTGCACTTTTCAAATACTTAGGGATGTCTGCATCCACTTTTGACTTGTGTGTTCAGCTAGCTCTCATTCAGCTTTATTTAGTCATTCATTATGAACGGTTCTGCCTTCTTTCCTCTGGATTTTTCATACATTGATTTTCTTGTCTGGGGAAAAAAAAGTATCTCACACCACATCTGCTTATTTGGCCACATTAGGACACAGTAGAAAAATAGTACTGCCCGTTCAGCAAGCTGCTTTTGTAATGAAGGGATTCCAGAGTCAGCCCCGAACAGGGGGATCCAAGTATGCGTGGCCAGTGCATGGGTAACTGGGATCCTCTAAACAGACTGCTGCAGAAGGAAGGCACATTTCTAGTGATGCAGGAGCAAAAGCCTCAACTCCCCATCTTGCTAAACGGCCCGAACACCCTGCTGTGCCTCGGGCTGGAAGTAAAAAGATCAGACTAGATGTTTTGCCCATCTGATCGTCTCTCATATTCATAGTTTCCTCTCCTATGAGGACCAGTCTGTCTAAGCAGTGAAGGGCTTCATTAAGGAAATGAAAAGTCACACTGGAGTCCCTGCACAGACGATGTGTCTTTGCACAAAGACGAGAAATTTAATTAAAAAGCCTGATATGCTCGGGGCTACACTACTCTCTTATGGGCCCCGCTAGAAAAATCACAGGGAGATAAAAACAGATCTCCCTCCTACAAGGTATGTAGGAAGGAGCTAAACATCCGGACAGCTCATAGGTACCAAAATTTGCTTTCTGTTTCCTTTAAAATTTTACTCAGAAGAGCGGGAAGAACGATGAAAAATAGTTTTTGCTCAAACACAACCAGTTTACCCAGAAAATGAATACAGCCTTCCAGATCCCATAAATACTACCAAGTTATTTGTCCTGCACTGTAAAGCCCTTTGTTCAGCCTGGTACCTTGACAAAAATTGGTAAAGGTGCTGTCACCCTCTAGAAAAGTGGGCTGAAAGCTGTGCTTTTTATCTGTGGTGCTGGCTCATCCATTAGATTTAATCCCAAAATTTCTACCAAGTAATGAAGTAGAAAACAGTGCTCTGTTCTTCCCTATACTAAGAGATTACCAAGAACAGCTGTAAGGACGTGCTTGCATCTTCTTCAATTCAGTCAGCCTAGCCCATTCTGCCGTCCATTAGGTTTCCTTAATTGTTTGTTTAAAGGAATTCAGCCAGATATGGAAGAAAACTTCCTCACTGAGAAAGAAAAGCTGCGTCCCAGCTAGTAAGCAGTTAATACACACAGAATGCAAAAGCCATCATCCAACTGTCCAAAATTAACGTCTATGAATGCCAGACATTTCACAAAAGAAAGTCCTTCCTCCAGCGTTTTTTTAATGATGACACAACACCATGGGCATGAATGACCGAATGTCATTATTCTTTGGGGCAGCAAAATCCATTAGTGAGTGATATCCATTCTCTGTGAAGGGATTTCATCACTGCTTACATTTAAGAACCAATGACAAATTTTATGCAGTGTTTCCTGGATGATTGGCCAAACTACATTAAGTATAAATTACTGCTTTATCTTGGACAGACCTGGGTAATCTGTGCTTTCATCCTGCTGAGCCCTGCAGCCGTTTCAGACTAAACACCAGCAGTTCTTCTCCTCTATTCATCACTAGTTTCCTGCTCTGCGTAACTGGCATGACCACGCTATGTATTTTTCTGACTGTATATTGGCATGGGCCAGTTGCCATTTTCTCTAATGAGCATGAGCCCTTTCGTAGTTAAAGATCACCATCACCGAATTAAGATGCCAGATCTGAAATGCCAATGTAGCTGCTGCCAGCAAGGAAGTTTTTAAAGTTTACCACTCCATCACTCACAAACCTGGAGAACCTGCGTTTAACAGCAAACCTGGCTTACATAGCTGAGTCACATGCAGAACTGAGTAGCTATGTCCAGCTCTTTCTACCAAAACTACAGCACTGAAGAACTCCTGAAAACTACTGGTCCGTGGTATGTCTTCCCCAAGCTGAAAAGCCGTTACCCAAAACTCAGCCCTGCAAAGGCTGCAGCACTGCTGTCAAGTGTAGTCATCAGGACTTCACTGAATTAAAACTTTAAAAGTACAGAAAATTCCTGGAGTACTGACTGCAGCCTGTAACTTGATAAACTACAGCTGTTTTCTCACAGATTAAATCAAAAGTTGGAGAAAAGTCTTAACTATGGCCTTGAATATGGTCAGAGTCTCACCTGATTTTTCCTTCAGATGGCTAACTTTGTGAATCCTATACCGGTCTAGCATAATAAAAGAAAAAAAAAAATTACTATTTTCACTACCAAACCTACCTTCTACTACTCCATTTCAGTGCCGACAGAAAGCTGCTCAGGATATGCACCTCTTCTCACTGTCACTGATATTTATCATCATTTCTCATTTCATTAATACCTGGTTCCCACTTGCTAGGAAAAGTGAGTAAAGATGATTCAATTAAGCCAATTGAGCGTACCCACAACAAAAATGCCACTCCTTGGATTTCATGCCGATTAACAGCAAGTGGAGAGGCACGGACTCCTCATCACGCACTAAGCTCAAAAGCTCCAATGCCTGGAGCAACGGCGGAGCTGTGCAAGGTGCAGAGGTCCCTTCCTGACTCTCCCTACCTGCCCAAGAAGGGGCGCTCAAGTAAAAAGATAAAGAGGAGCTTTGCCTCCTGCTTCCCAGTAACCACAAGAGATGGTCACAGGCTACAGAGCTCATCTCAATGACTTCTCCAGCTTAAAACAAGACAGAAGATGCTTTACCACCCAGCAACAGAGCAAACCATGGGCTAAAGCAGAAGCCAGCAATCCAAAGCACTTAACTGTCCAACTACCCGTAACCAGAGCAGCGGCTTCCAGAGATCCCCAAAAAATAGCCACGTCTCTGCTCCTGGGAACACGGATGCAGAGGAAAGGGAAGGAAAAATGCCCATGTGGGAAGAACACGGTAAGATATAGCAGGGATAGCAAGGGCAGGAGAGGTTGTGATACTGCTTGGAAAGTCATGGTCTGCTTTTAAACAGGCGAAACAGTTAAATGCAACACGAATAGCTCAGCAGTCTCTGTGCCTTCCGCCTTTGACCTAAGGAGCACTGCACAACCATTTTATGCAGCATGAAAAAGCCAGAGGGCTGTTTCTACAGCTAACAGCGTAGCCTTGATCTACATCTAACACACGCGCAAGCAGCTGCAGTTGAGCAAAGCCCACTCACAGGCCAGTCTGTGGTGAGACGATCCACAAGGGGAAAACATGGAGTAAATTCTCAGCCGTGATTTCTCATACCAGTGCATGGCTTTGTTTTCTGAAGAGTCCCTGGAAAAAAGGGCGCTGGCTGGTCTGTGCGGGGCCAGGAGCAAAGCACCTTGCCAGTGAGCGAAACACGTCGGAGAGCATGGCCTGGAGCTTACACGGGGCTGGAAAGGGGGGCCAAGTGCCTCATCCCTGGCATTCATTTATACTCACAGCGCACAGGAACACAAGACCAGCTCCTAGCACCATCTACAGATTTGTGTAAGAAAGTCGCTCTCTGGATTGATCAACTATTATAATTCTCAGGTTTCTTGAATTTAATTCAGTTATTCTTACACTTGACTCATTCAAATATTAATTCTGTATTTAATCTGTATTATGAGGCTTCCTAACCCATTTAATGCTGTAAATTAAGATTCAAGCGCTTAAGCTTTTGTTAGCCATAGGAGTACAAAGCTCAGCTTTGTGTTGTATAATTTTATGTCGGCATAATCTGATAAAGCAACAATCATCCCCTGTTGACGGTTTGCCTTGAGACGTATCTGGCAGGAGCACAGTTAATATTAATGAAAGAGATTTCTTGTTCTTAATAAATCAGTTTTTGCTCTAGTCCCAGTGTCTTTTAAGACAAGCCAATCTTCAAGAGAAAGAACAGAGAACAAAAATCGAGTGCTCTCTCTGAAGAAAAGTTTTCTGCAACGACTCCTTTCAGTTATTTCTGCTGACATACAGTAAATGAGAGTTTTAATCCACAAGCTACCTGTGGAATTATTGCTGCTTGTTCCCCCTGCTGGGAGGAACAAATTAGTTTTGAAAACATTACAAGCTGTTTTCCACTGTGCTCCTCCACAGGCTCGCAGAGCTCAGGCTTGCTCAGTTCTAGATTTAACCCTCTCTCTGAGCACAGCTGCTCTGCTGGGAGTGCAGCTTCTGCTGTACACATACTCTTGTTCCTACTTCTTAATTAGCTCTATCCCGCTTCTTTGAGTCAGTAAGATAATTTTTCATCAATATATTTTCCTTTGTGTTAGTTGTTGCCAGCTCTCTCTTTAGGATTCCTTAAAACAGAGGTCTGAAAGAACACTACACAATGCTGCCAGATGCCTAGGAATGACAACAGAAAACTATTTAAATGACTTTTTTATCCAGAGACCTCATTCAAAACTCTTTGGAATAGATCTGTCAGCAGGGAACATTTTCCCATCTTTCACTGAAGGCAGTTTGCCCATATAACATTTTATTATCAATCCCTAATAAGGCTTCTTTTTGAAAGCAGGTAAAGAAATACAGAATTTAGATTTTATTAGGATTATTAGACTAAAATGTATTTCCTGATTAGAACACAGACAACCTATTAAACATAAGCCCTTCTATATTCAAAT